CATAACCTAACTGGTCTTTCTTATCTTGGAGGCTTAATTGCAGTGCGGGAGCCAGGGGAAAGATTTGTAGGGAATGGGGGGTGGGGACATGCCTCGCCCATGAAACCCACAAATTGCTACTAGGTAAGATGAACTGTGAAGGTGGATTCTTGTACACCCTTTTAGCTGCTAACGGGTTTTTAGGTAAGGGGACTGAAAGTCCGTTAGCAGCTAAAAGGGAGTACAAGAACCCACCCTCAAGCTCTATTCTTCTCCATTTTAGTTGCTAATGGACTTATAGATAAGCGGACTGAAAGTCCGTTAGCAACAAAAAGGGAAAAGAATTGGGCTCTCAGATTTTAGTGCAATGTAACGTATTAAGGTTCAGATGTCTAAAAAACAAGAAAGCAAGACGTAGCGGCCGAGAATGCCAGGCGAAGACTTATTACATTTCATTCTCCTTTTGAAATATAGCCTATCACTCAAGTGTAGATGATGAACGCCAATGACTGTCAAAACGCAGTCAGTTCTGAAGATGTTCGAAAATGATACATTTTTTGCAACCATGATACCAATCATTTGCAACACGGGAATTATCATCTTCGTCTCCGTCACTCAGCCATATGGCCCCTCGGAAACTTGAATTATTTTATCTGTGATATTTTCAAGTACGAAGAGCACATTTGATGCGTCGCATAGTGTGCGTGGGCAGACGGAATCAAGCAAGCTTTTCGTGCGTTCGAATTAATCCACTCCCATTGAAGGTGTCGACTATTCCCATTTTACCCCGCATTATTGCAAGCTTCAATTCGATACTTTCAATTCCCAGCGTGCATTCCCTTGGCTGGAGTCAAGTCCATCCATACGCTTATGTTAAAATTGGTCCTGATGTCTTTGTTCCGGAGCTATCAGTGCGTCTTTGTCTCTGTATTTCCCCCCCCCCCAGCAATTTGGCACTAGCTCTTTGCTTGAAGCTCGCCAAAAAGGAACATCTTCAGGAGAAGAGGATTATAAGTGTTTCACTTACTGAAGCACGTTCTGTAGTCTTTCCTGCAAGACAGCCAATGAGCTTTTCAATCGTAAATACCTTTCAGTACCTTCCCCTCTCGCCCAGTCCTAGGTAGCCCGAAGTACACACAGGCTACGCTGAGTCAAGGTATGCCTCATTTGCGAATATAGATCCATCGCTTCACTGCGAGTACATTTCAATATGGTTATTACTGAATGAATATTTAGTAACCCATAAAAAAATTTCAATGTGAGGTAAGTGCATAGGTATCTCACGTGCTGTATTCCACCTAGTGGTTTTTGCTATATGACTGCCTACTTATTTCTTAGGGATAAGTGATACGAAAGTTTCTCTTTTTTTCGTACTTACTGAGTTCATTTTACCCTCAGAACTCAGAAATGTCCATTCCTGGTGCGGCGAATGGGAGAAAGTACTTTCCATACTGTCAGCACCAGGAGCTCATAGACACCCCAAGTGCGAGACAAGTACATAGGTGCTTCATTTCTTCTAATCGGTTCCGTAGTTTTTGCTCTAGGGCGAATTACGATGGTTGTCAATTTAATAATACGACTGAATTTATTATAGCCTTACCTCACATGTTTGAGTCATAGTGAACCTGCACCTATTCAACATAATCTCCGTATAACGTAATGCATTTGTTCCCATCGATGTACCCATATATCTAATGCGTTCTGCAGACCATTTTCGACATGCGTCGAAGCTCCTTCGTCACAGCTGCTTTCAGCTCTATATCGGTACTGAATCGGTGTCCTTTCGGCTTGCTCTTCGGTTTGGAAAAAAACACAAATCACAGGAAGCCAGGTCATGGAATAGGCAAGATACAGTGGAATTTCAATACCAAATGCTGCTATAACGCCTTGTACTCCTCCAACGATCAGCATCGTCATGCCTTCTCGATTGCAATGCTTGGCACAGTTTTTTGCGAATAATGTCTGCATACATCACAGATGTAATTACGGCTCCCGGTCCCGCAAAACCTGCCGGAAGGATGCCCCGGATCTCGAAGAATGACAGATCCATCTTCTTACCAGCAGAATTTCCGATACGAAATTTCTACAGAGTTGAAGATGGAAGATGTTTCCTCATGGAACCCGGCCGTTTGCTGCTTACGATCTCCTCCGTACACAGCGTTCACTTCAGCAAATGTGTCTATTGCAGAAATTCCATGCCTGATAGAAGCAAACTTCGTACCGTTTCTCTATTTCCAGAGAAATTTTAATCACAACGGATGTCAAATACAACTTTCAAATAATGCTCATACAAGAGCAGGTTCATGTGACTGAAAATTCTCTCACATAATGACCACGAGTGCTCGCATCAGTTACCACCCATTAATATTTAATGCAGCTGGAAAGTGCGATGCGTTGTTGCCAGTCTTAATATTTGAATAATGTGAGGGTCATTTATGGAGAGTCGCCAGAACGCAAGCATTAGGAGGATCTCCAAACTCGTGCACAGATTTCCTGTAGCGCTGGATCGTTATGAAAGAAACTTGGTAGATTTGAGTTCATGAAAACCTCGAGGAAAGAAAGAAGGCACACCGATTCTGGAGTTCATCAATGAGCATGAACGTGAGTTTTGGGATTGAAAATTAGCTTGGAAAGGACCTTGAATTTACATTTTAGTTCTCACTGTAATAGTGCATGGGAGGCTTAGGGCGGGGAGATGCAGTTGAAGATGTCAGTGAATTCTTGATGTGGTCGTTATAATGAATACCTGAATCGTGACTTGCATCTTCTCTTTCCCCAAGACTTCCGTCTCTCCTCTTTCTTATCGTGCCAGGCAAGCAACCTAACTCGGTCTTAGGCTAAATCGCTTGTCGTGATGACGATTGTATGAAGCGCTGAGCCATTAGCCTTGAGGTCTTGTGTGAACCCTGAGCTGATGCGGATGAATTGAGGTTGGCGTTGGGTTGGCAACGTAAGTGCAGTGTAATCTCGTTCAAGGACCCTCTAAGCCGAGTTGCATTATTCAATACTTCATCCCGATTATCTTCCGGGTATTTGATCTCGAAAACGGTATCCTGACTTCATTTGGAAGCTATCAGCATCCAAGTTTCCATCATGACATCTTTTCTCGCGAATGAATTGAACAGGAGTCGTGAAAGAGAATGAAAGGAAGAGAGAAAGAGTGACGAAACTTCAGAGAACGTGACTGTTGAGAGGAGTCATGTTCTTTTAGCTGGTCGACGGGACGAGGAATGGGGTCTTGACCGAGTCCCATGCCATGCCAGTGCATGGAGGCCCTGCACTACTTCCATGCCCAAGCCGTCAGACCAGATACTAAACACCGGTTCCCCTTGCATCTCATCCCATCCTTCCAACTCGTTCGGCATATCTGCGTCCTTGGGAGAAGAGAAAGAGGAAAAAAGAGATCTCTTCCATTGCGACACTCAATCTACTGTGACTAATCGAGAAGGTTGGGTGTGCATTGTTCTGCAGACCCCGCGTGGGAGGGCAGAGATCCTGCTGTTAAATATGGTCTGCTCCTGGCAAAGAACTCACAAATCAATTTTTTTTTCGTCGAAAAAAAAGTCGGTCGACAGTCAGATTCAGACAGAGATCCCTGACTCTTTTCCCGAGAAGAGCTGGTTGGCAGCCGTTCGTGGGAGGTCAAGGCGTGTCGAATCCAGTCTTTCATGCCATGAATTATACACACCTTCCACGTAACGCAGTGATCTTAGATACAATCTAGTATGTTCGTTATAATGTATGCCCGCGACGTGATCATGCCACCCCTATGTTTTATAGCTAACTAAGAGTGGGTGATGAAGCAAACCTGTCTCTTTCTCTCTTTCGCTCTTTCCGCAACTCGACTGCTTAATAACATGCTACGGATGGATGCTCACAACATATAGCAATATATAGGGCGTCCAAAAAGTATTACGTTGGTCACATATTTCTCCTGTCTCGGTTCTATCGTCTCGATGTTCAGGATAGCTGAAAACTGTCAGAAAAGGGCACACAATGACAATATACTATACTAAACTTCCTCGGTGAAAATTTCCTCGTTTCTTTGGATATTTTCATGAAAATCAGTGGCACCAAGAGCAAAGTAAAGACTTGTGTCTTCTCACGCCAAGATTCCGAAGTCCTTTGGTTTTATTTGTCAAATTTTTAAGTCCTTGTCATGCAGCTATGGTCACAAGATGAGAGCGTTTTGCGAGTTCACTACTCTCGTTGCTTCTCTCACATGACTATATCCATGGTAAATGTGGTACGCGCCACATTTTCATCAGCTGCCTTTTCTGCTGAAGGTACCTGCTTTCGTGAAACCTCATACAAAGCGATTTCCCACTTCTTGTGCGACTTACTTGGACGGAGGTCACGGCCAAAGCTTCAGCAAACCGACAGACCCGTTAGTCAATGAGATTTCCCATTCTCTCGGCCAAGTAGCGGAAATGCGGAATGTACTTATGTACAGTTTTACCTGACTGAAAGGCACCCCAATGTTAGTGTGATACGGAAGGAGATAAGAGCATGAGCGCCATCCGTATGAGTCTGAAACGAGTAGAGAGACTTATGGCAAACTCGGCCAGACAATGACCTAGATGAAGAAGGTAGAGAGTAGGAATAATGCAAGCAGACAGGATGACAGGCACATTGATGAGAAAGCAGTATGAACGGAATGGAAGTCGACAGACGTGGTACTAGGCCGAGACTTACTGAAGTCCCAATTTTTTGAGTCACCAAGAAATGTTGCTTTGTATAGTTCATCTTTTTCCGTAGCAAATCCAGCAAACTGTGATACATAATGAACTTCAATTGTGTGCTATTCATGCTGGTTTTATACGCTGTATTGAAAACTCGCAGGATGCCAGGATTTCGTTACGAAGTTTTTTTGGAACACGTAGTACCATAGGGATAGCGGAGGAAATCGGAAAGCCTACGAGCACAAGTGGCTCGCGAATCGCAAAATGGGCAACTCTTTTCAATTGAAGCAGAAGGTCAGGCAGAAATCATGGAGCGTGTAGTCATGTCATTCTGCAAGTATGATAGTGGGAAAGAAAGGAAGAGATCGACTGGAAATGGGAACGCACTCGGACCAGGTCTATGAGATCTCAGCCATCGCATGACTTCCTGCAATCATTACATCCACTTTCAGGCTGATCACATATCGTCGTAAGCCCGCATGGGATCTCGGACACGACGTGACATCGGACAAATCTCTTTGCTTTTCGTAGATGTAGGTTTCATAGCTCGTTTTAAATTGCATCACCAGCCCTGAAGCAGCCATAGCGTGAGCTTCTGTATTTATGAATGGGAATTATATTGAAGAAACAGAGAGGAGGGGGGGGGGGGGGGTTTGACGCACTATCGAAATGAACGAATGCCGCTGATGATGTGTTCGTGTGTCACAAAGACCATTATTATAGTCTCATCTGACTGAGGTTGTACCTGTTATTAGACTAGTTTACTTCCCTTGATGCTCGTATACATTCCAGATGTGGCTGAGGGCAATACTCGCGCTGACTCTTTGACCTCATTCATAGTCTCATTACAAAATTCACTATGCCGAAGAGAGAGCACGAAAGGCTCTCACGCAGAGCTGTTGAATGCTGTTATTCAATTCTATTCGATTCTATTCTAATCCTAGGGTTACGGTGTGGACGAGGAGAGAGGCGTTGTGTCTGGAACGGCACCGAGGAAGCACAAGAAATCTTGGGGGAAAAGGTTGAAACTATCCCAATTGCCGAAATTGCTTGGGAAGGACAAGGATGGACCAGGGAATCCAGCTCGTTTGGCCCGTTCGTACGTGGAAGCACAACCGGTGGTGCAACAACCGCACCCACCCTCTCGATTCTACTATCCTCATCTATCAGATTTTGGGACGGTCCGCTTGCCGGCCAACGCATACTACTACCCGTGGGTGAATTACGCCCCTGGTCCTCTCCATCATGCTTATGAAGAGATTCCAGCTTCGAATCTCGTTGAGGCAAGCTGTTCCTGTTCCCGGAGCACTTTTGGGAAGTCGACTCGAAAATCTCGTTCCAAGCATCGGCCTACGTTAGACCCCACTTGGTGCTTAGATGATCCATACTCTTATGTGAGGGAATCACGGCTTCAAGGGGCAGTATCAGACAGTGATTTTGATGATGAACCACGTTATCGTCTGGATGATGATGTTAGATATGCCACTGTTCATCCCGTGCGGCCACGCCCTGGTCTTCGCAGTGTGAGTGCGGAACGATCTGGTAATTCCAAGCCATGCCGTCTTCCCAATGTCCCCCAGTCCAGAAACAGAAGTCTGAGCAGCTTCAATGTCTCTGAAGAGATTGATTTGATTGATTTGAGCGGCCGGAAATCCATCTTGGAATGCGGGTTCAATGCATATGACTTGATGACAGTCCGAGGTGACCGAGATTCGGATAGTGATGAAATCAACGAGACAGTATTGGAAAATCGCCCTGGACCCACGTATCAGCTGTTGAGTGACGGTGAAGTTGAAGAATGCTCCTCCAGTGATTACGCCGGGAGTAGTATCAGCAGCAACTTCCATCCCTCGGGTTCATCTGAGAACTCTTTGCCAATGTCGATGCCTATTTCGGCGGTTACGCCGGTACCTATGCCGATGTTTACGCCGGTACCTATGCAGACGCGAAAGAAAGAAGAGAAAGAAGGGGGAGGAGGAGCGCCACCGCCGCCGCCACCTCTACCTCCTCCGCCACCACCTCCTCGTCTTCCGCCTCAAAGGCCACCTCGCAAGAAGAGGAATAACGAAGAAGGGGAAGAAGAGGACCCGCCTCCGAGTGACTTGAAGTCGATTTTGAAGAAACCCGGCGGTGAAGGGAATGGAGCGAATGGATTGACGTGGAAGCCGAAAACGCCGTCCGGTCTGGAAAAGAAGCACTTGATCGTTCCCAGTCTCTCTGAGATCCAGGAGCGACATCAGCAAATGCAGAGAAAGAAGAAACAAGTCCAATTCCGATCAAATATGGATATCCGAGGCGACGAAGAAGAATCCTCCGATTCTGCCATAATTAAGACCAACTCCATCTCCAATGGAAGTGAAAAATCCGAGGACCAGGAGTCACCATCCGCCAAAATCACCATTCGAGTCCCGGATATCTCGCAGGATCAGGATCGGCCTCAGCAATTTCCAGGTAAGCGCGCTGTTGGTGCGACATTGATGTTGGCCGGTGCGTCTCTGTGCGACCTGTGTCTCAGTGAGAGTACCAGAGTAAAAGTGAGGTAGGCCTAAGTACAGTAGGAACTGTTAAGGTAATGATGAAATTGTTTGTCTTGATCAGAGTTGTCGAGGGGCACGACCCTGCGTCGCAGCCTGAGCGATCGTTCTGTATCGGGGAAGGCGATGCCATTGTTCCAGGACACCATGAGGTTACGGTTGAGGCCGTCGTCGGGTAGAAAGACCGTCGTCGAGGTCTTCTCAGTGGAATCATTGACAGACCCTCGATCCCGACCCAAAATCCCGCCTCCACCCCCTCCAAGGAGATCATCCTCCTGCAATAAAGTGAACGTTGAAGTGAACGGAGTGATCGATGAGAACCGCTGCGTTGTCACCATCCCTGGTGGAGAAGATTCCGATCCCAGTGCCAATGATGCAAAGGCTCTGAATAATACGGTGCTCCCCGAGAACCCTGATTCGCATGTGATAGATAACAAACTTCCTTCCAAAGTTCTTTCCTCTCCTCCTTTAGCTACCTGTAAAGACATCTCTACTTCCTTCATATCGGTTGAGGATCCAAAAAACGTGCAGACACCCACTGGAATAACGAGAAGAGAGCCTACGTCCAGTTCGTCTGGCATCTGTAATCAATCCCAGAACGCAGTTACTTGTATCGACGTGGAAGGTTTCACGACCCGGATCACGCTCGATGTCCCTTTCGGCATCAGTGCCCCGATTCGGATGAAGAGGAAGAACCGCGCCGTCAAAAAAGATTCCTTTAATGAGAGCGAAATGGATAAGAAAGAGGAAGACGAGGAATTGGAGGTGGAAGCTCTATACGAAGAGATTCACGAGCACATCTACGAGGTGCTATCGGAGCCGGATGTTCGGTGCGTGGAAGACGACGCTGGTGATTATGTGACCGGGAAGTCCATGTTTGATGGAGCTTCCAAGGAAGACATCCTGACCTACTTGCAAGAACGTGCTCTACACTTGGATGAAGACTCTCAGTCTCAGTCCCCTCTCCTAAATGAAAGGAACAGTGGGAGTCGTAGCAGCGGAACTAGCGACTCTAGCTCAGATTCTCGTATCCTCCTCCCCGCGAAGAAAGTCGTAAGTGCACTCCACTAAAATAACCCCCCTCCCCCATCTGTACTTCCGCCTTCTTCCCCTTTAACTCGGAATAGCTGGGCATTGCCCTTCAGTCAAGCGGAAAGATTGAAAAATCTATAACGTGATCACTGGCCGTAGCTCTTTTTTTTTAAATTAGTCCTCGGCGTAATCGTTCGCGCGTAGAGGTAATCTGGAGCATAATTACGTCCTCACGCAGTCTCATGGCTTCGGTCGGATTAACCCTGTCTTCCTAATTTCCCGGAATTTCCCCCGGAGGGGGTGCAATTATAAAATTAAATGAGACCTGTCTAAAAGAGGTGTCGCATCTCCCTCAGGGAAACGTGGAAATCGAACGAAATGACTCGGGAGTGGGATCAGAGACGTCAAAACCTTCTGCTCGGATTCGTCCTCGCCGATCATCTCCAGAGGAGGAAGAGGAAGAAGAATATGAAGGGGACGAAGAGAGTCTCTCCTGTGAAGACTGTCGGGGCACCCTGGAATACCAAAAGTAAAAATGAACTAGTCCTCTTTTTTTCTCGCCGTTCTAGAGCCATTTAAGTCTTTCAATTCGCCATGACCTCTGACAGATCTTTTTCTGCCCTGATCTGCCGACGATGCCGTCGACGTCGGAACGAGAGGAAAGAGTTGATCTTGGAGATCGTGGAGACAGAGATTCGGTACGGGAGAGACCTGCAGTTGCTTCGAGAGGAATTCTACCGCCCCATGTTGGTGGCAGGACTACTGTCACCCTCGCAGTTGGATGCTATGTTTCTTAATCTGCCGGAATTGGTGGAATGGAATGCCCGATTCACTGAACGACTCCGGGATTCCCTCGAGATTGCAATCGAAGCCGGCGATGAAGACCTGTTGACGGTGAACCTTGGAAAATTGTTCCTCGGGGCTTCCCACATGCTCCATGCTTTTGAGACGTATTGCCTCCGACAAGTGAGAGTTCCCCCTCCCTTTCCCCTAGTCTTTGCTCTTTTTATACTCCTTTCCCTTTCCTTTTCATCCTTGGAGTTTCCTTGTCTTTCAGGGGGACGCTAGCCTCCTGTTGAGTCAGCTGGAGCGAGAGAAAGAGCTCCTCAGAATCTTCCTCAAGGTTTCTCAGATGGAGAACACCCTTCTCAGGCGAATGAATCTTCGCTCCTTTTTGATGGTAAGTGGAGAATGGAAATGGTTTCACGCCTTTCGCTCACGCAATAAAAATAGTCATTGTTTCCATGCAATCTCTAATCCCGTGGCAATGACGTGGACGCCCATATGGTCCACTTTCACGGGAAAATGTTATCAAAAGAATTATTTTATTTTTGTTTGCATGGCAGGTCCCTGTCCAGAGGGTTACCAAGTATCCGTTGCTTCTCGGTCGCCTCTACAAAGTTACACCGCATCAGTTAGAGGGGAGAGAAGCCATCCGAGACGCTCAACGCAAGATCGAAGCCCATCTCGAACAGATCAATACCGTGCGTTCTCAGGGCATGGCATGCGTGAAATGGATTATAGAGATTCATTTCTTCCCTAGGCTAGAAAGTCTAAATCGAATGCAATTAGTCATTGCATGGAATTGATCATGTGAAGGAGGCGAAAGCGATGGGGACAACGAAATTATGGAGGAGGATCTCAATCATCAGTTCCAATGCACCCGCTCGAAGACCTGTCCCATATTCGGACAAAGCTCACGAGATGGGGAACATTAGACTACGGCAGGTGAGAGGGAGTCTGCGAGTCGAGCTTCTCGATATCATCAAGACCCATACAAAGACCCATTGTTACATAGATAGTGTATAGTCGTGGATGATTTCTGGAGAGGCAATCAGCTGAAATGAGTCGACCAAGTCAAGGCAGACTGCCATCTGGTGGTGCGGTATGCTGGCAGTCGATTGGTCAATTTTCATCATCTCATTGCACATACGGATGATGGAGATTGTCTATATCTGCATCCGTCGACTACAATAGACATTTGTTTCGTGTCATATCTGCACTCAGTGAAATCCCAGAAAGTCTCTGAAAACACTTGAATTATGGGATATAGGAAGAAGACTTAGCGAGTTTCACTCATAGCTTATATGGCTCTTTCCAACAAACTTGCGCTGTGGAGAAGTTATCATGCTTCAAAGTTGTTTTCCGGCGGCGTTTTCATATTACTACTGAAGTCACTCGTTAAGGGCTTATTCTTTCCGACATTCCGCGGAATTAGCCATTCAAGGCTGACTTCCCATCCTCGCAACATATCCGCCATTTATTGAATCTTGGCATCTTTACTAATTACTTTGACTGAAATTCTCAAAACTTCCCAATATTGTGAACTCATGCATATGTTGTACTAAACCCAACATGGTAATTGCAATGTATGACTCTCCATGAATTGGCCTGTGATTGGTTGCAACGTGAGGCTAAGAGACAAAAACATTTCATTTGAAAGCGTAGAATTTGACAGGCGAGCCCTTTCCTTGCAGTAGGAGGGACGAGAAACTGGCTATTGCAACTGTAAGTCCTCTGGTCGAAGGTTAGGCAGGGTGAAGTAGGCCGGAGCTTTGAATGAGGGCATTGGGAGGTCCGTAGGTGCACGTGACACATTGTAGCTCTTCGAGGAAATACTGCACCAAACTAAAGCGGACTCTGATCCTATGGCCTCATTTTGAAGGTATACCGTTTGCCACTCCAGATAGTACATACCCTGTATGCATTATACTCGTATAGCTGGCCTTGGATGTACTGGAATGGAGCTCCGATGGGATGGGCTTTGCATTGGACGGTCGGCTGGAGTTCACCCAGGCCGGGGATAATATGTGGACACGCCGTGGAAAACATTTCCGGCTCACCACAATCCATGCTCTCCTCGTCACACTTGGAAATGTCAGTACTCTATCTGCATCGTCGATTCAAACGGTCTTGCATTGAAGATGTCGGGATAATCTCTGTCTCTTGTATAGCCGACAGAGCATTACAAGCCGAGTGAGAACGGGCAGCTTTTATTCTACAGCAGAAGGACGGGGCTCCAGCAGGCAGCGCTTCTGCTTGCCAGAGAACGCAACTCGCGCCTCACCCTCGTTCGAGTAAAGTCTTATTCAATGCACACTTTTCTCAACTTTGCCCTGCCCTACATTCTGTAGAGGCTATGCTGGGACGTGAATTTCCTAATTCTTGCTTGACAGGAGCCTCTGATTCTCGAAAGATGTCTCGTCTGCCAGGATTCCGAAGTGGACGGCTTCTTCGAAATACACGATACCTTCAGCAAGGACACCTTCTACTTCAAGGTCTCCTGCCGCTACTTCTCTCATTCTTTCTCGTCCTTCATCCCCTTGACACGAAAGCGAATCCTTTTGTCTCTTTTTTTCCGTCGTTCAGGGTAACACGGACGACGAGACGGATCTTTGGTTCCAGTATCTGCAGTACCATAGTCACGCCCTGGGTAGTTGGCGGAAACGACGGAATGCTCTGGCCAACATCATGATCGACAAGAGGATTTCTTACCAATAACAAGTATACGGATGAAGGTTATGATACGAACCTCTTCTCGTAATTCCAGTGGGGTTTACCAGAAAAAAAAACTCTTCCTCTCTTTACACTTTTTTTTTCACTACATCTCTATTCCTGTTTTGTCTCGTGTGCATTATTACGCTTAAATGGATTTTAGTTTATATTTATTTGTAAACTAGTGGGAAATTTCACATGCATGCCTTTGCGACCGACTCGGGAATTGAGACTCGGCAAGACCTGCTGTCAAGTGGATGGTATTTTCAATAAAAAGGTGCCATTCTTTCAGGCGGAGGTTCGATTCATTTGCTTGAATCATCTCGTTATTTGTAATACCAGAAAAGGGGTACAGACAAACAGAAAACCTTTTTCCCGGGAGGGAAAGAAGAATAAAAACCAGCAACGGTGAATGAGATGAGCTTGAGGACTACCGCATGATTGTTCACGCATCATCACTTTTATGGATATGGGATACCATGACATGGATATGACATGCCATGATGATGTATGCCGCATCCACTCCGCATCTCAGAGCTTCGTCATTGTGTTTCCTGTATAATATCAGAGCAAAACAAGCATGTAGTATATTCATGATGCATTTTTATGCTGTAGAGGTGTGCCAGGTCGAGGTAAAAGCAAACAAATAAGCTTTGCCTTCTTTATAATGATTATGAGAACTTCAGACTGGCATTATTTACCCCCTAAAATGGAATCCCCAATGTTTTTCTCCTTGAAAGAAACCTTCAATTGCGAAGCCCCTGAAGATTGCGATTGTGGTAGCATTCTATCCAGGATCATCCCGTAACATTTTCTGAAGTTGACAGCGTTGTAAACCTCCCTTACGAACGTTAAGAGAAATCAGTCTCTTTCTGCGATATCGTCATACTCGTGTTCAAGTCTCACCAACTGATAAAAACCAATCAGAGCGTTGTTGTACCAGCCACGGGGAGAATAAGTAGGCAGGACGAGCATAATTTTTGCATTTTCTATTCCTTTACTCTGAGATTTGTAGATCGGATCTCATGAGTGACCTGAGCTTTCTGCAGGAAACCTAAAACAATCAGATGCTCAGAGATGAGACCCAGGAGTTTCTCATTTCCAGGGCCTATATACTATCAATTCATCAACTTAACACTTGGACTACCGGGGAAGTCGTTTTGACTGCTCACCGATTTTTAATGCACTTTACCCTGCTCGTTCGGCAACCAAGGGCCTCCGCAGTTTTTACTTTTCCTATCTAACATCGACATTTTGAACATATAAAATTTTGAACGTACCAAATAACGTCTGGAAAAGACAACTAACATCTTACTTGATAATAATAGTTTTATGCTGCTTTTAATACAGCGGTCAAATTGACAGCTCCGGCAGTTCTAGTGTTACCACGAGGAAACTGCTTAAATTTAAATAATCCGTCATAACTAATTCGTCGTCGTAACTGCACATTCAACATGCTGTTCGAGTTGCAATTTCACGAAGGGTATTCAGAAAGTAGGTAGATATTTTGAATTGAGGTACAAAACACATGAATTATTACTCCTCAATCTTCGCATAACCACCCTTGAATTTAATGCGCATTTGTGAATGTTATTCCGAATAGCATCAGCATAAGCACCTTTGGATATCTCTTCGAGTTGGAAAATGGGGGAATTCTGGTCACTACAGCGCTGAAATCTGCGACCATAGAGATGTTCCTTGATTTTCGGAAACAAAAAGGGTTCAGACTATAAGAAGGATGGGGCGCAAAATCCTACCCAGTGCAGTGATGGTTGCAGTTGTGACCAGAGATGTAGACCGGGCGGACGACGATATCAAGTTTTAGGAGCATTACTGCTGACATACCTGCTTGGAAAGTCCTATACATCATGTTTTGGAACGCGGAAGGTGTTATTCTGGAGCATTCAAAGCCTCGGGGTGCCACTGCTACAGGGCAAATATATGCTGACAGGTAAGACATCACTGCCTGCCTTGCTAAGAGAAGACCTGACCTGTTGCAAGGCAAGGAGCGCTCCAACAGAATGATAACGCGAGCCGTTCAGTTTCATCAATAAAGTTAAAAGCAGAAAAAAGAACAAGTTAAATACACGATCTTTCTTTAATGAAACGTGCTTCTTCCATCTTTTGCCTCGCGAAGAGCCTGTACCCCGAAGTGGCATGCCTTCCATCTCTTCTGGCTAGTCTCCTCAGGGGTTTTTATCCCATTCAGCATTGAAGAGCTGTCAGTCTGACGTAGGTGGAAACTGAACAGTTCTCTTGTTCGCGGTCGACGGTCATCCCATAGATGTTCAATCGGATTCAGATCTGGGCTTTGTGCAGGCCAGGAATATGTACGACCGTCATTTCCTTCCTTTTATCCTTCTACTATTGCTGCCTTGTGACAGTTGGCATCATCTTGCAAAGTAAAGTCACTCTCATATCCAAGGATATGAGCAGACGGAATGGGGGAATTCCCCAGAATGTGGATGTGATTCTTGCCACCTTGCGTGACTTCCACCGCCTTGAAAACCCAATTCTATGCATAGACATGCACCCTCAAATCACGACTCCCCCTCTTCTAAGCTTGAAAGTCAGTTCAAAACCTCCAGGGAGATAGGCCTCATTTCGCCGCCTTCGAATCCAGCCCCTACTGTTATTCTCCCACAAGAGGAAACGGCTCTCATCCGTGAAAATGTATGGATTCCAATCTTGCAAGTCAATATATGGTGGGACTAAGCGGAATGAAGGTAGGATTTGCAAAATAATTCGGCGGATCACATTACATGGGCAACTCTTCGAAAACGTCGACTGAGATGTCAATAAATGTGAAAGCAGCAAGAAAAGACATAGGGCCCTTCTAATTCTTTGCCTAACTTATTTGCTGGAAAACCTCCATACTTTTTTTTCTTACGCAGAGTCAATTCTCATTACCATCTCAGGAAAATTTTCCTGCGATTGGAAATTTGGTTGCGTAAGTCCAAGTAAACCAACGACAGCACTCTATACATGGAGCAGGTGTGGTGTCCATGCCCACCTGGCATATTTCAGTTCTCTCCCAGAAGAGAGTTGACAACGATGAACATTGCTCGAATTTTCTATCGCAAGATGTTCTCGAATCGGCTGATCGTAGAACACCAACAGGTGATTAACGCCTTGGCTCCTAAAGGCACTTTTGCTCCTTTCCCCTTTTATTTTGCGATAATTTCATGTATTAACTGCACCTGGAGAAATAAAAACTTAATGCGGCTTCATGGTCATAATACATGACCATGAAGCCACGGCCAAAGTAGTTGTAACTAGAACCCCAGCTCATTTCTGTAATTCCTGAAGCGATAGATATAGGCATTCAGACGTCTGGGTTTACGCAAGTAAGAATATGAAATATACCGTATAGGTTTGAACAATAAGATATGCGTGTTTTCTTCTGTCTCTCCTCCCCACAGCAATGATCCACACATCGAACAGGATTCAGCCACCTCAAGTTAGTTCCATGTGAGGTTGCCCAGATTTGGCCCGTGTCTGGGTAGGCCGATAAATTGTTGTGAGCCTTACATGAAGAAAGAGTGAAAAAAAAGTTTACGCTGATGAATGTATCTCTAACATGTCTAGTTCTCCAGAATCCTCGCTCTCCATTCCATCAGTGGGATGTTCGGAATCTTTCATTATTTTGTCATGCTTGAGAATTTTGATGCAGTTGAAATGCATGATACGGAGGTCAGTTTGATCCACTGAAAAATTCTGTGCGGTGTTGAGCAAGGTTAGCGCACGAGAGGATAATTTTTGGCATCCTGTATCTGGATTCCAGCATTTCTCCTTATTTTCGTCAACTGGAAGATAGAAAATGAAGCATCGACGGTTGAAATGATGTTGGAAATTGAGTTCGGCATATACCACAGGATTAGGCATTCAGAGGTGCTTATCGGTCGGATCGTTGTGGCAAGATTGAAACAGGTCTTTGGCGTGTCAGCAAAATGCTAAACATTGCGCTGACGCTTGGCAGGCTGACAGGCTAAATGCAGTGAGCGCCATCTTTGACTTTCGATACAGATATTTCGAGGAAACCATGTCCGTGGACGAATTGAAAATCCCCCTGATAAAGTAAAGATTCCGATCGCCGTGTTCCACATTCCGTTTACCATAGGGTTACCATATTTCGAACAGTCAAAACAAGGACGCCTTCCGATTGGACGGAAATTTGAAGGCGAAAAAGGGGGACATGTCCGGAAAACCCGGACGAATGGTAACCCACAAGAAGCCTTTCTTCTGGGCGGGAATTTTAAGCATGGAAAGACGACATGTCTGGGAAAATCTGGACGCATGGTAACGCTAATTTCACATCGGAGAGAGGTCGGAGAGGACGTTTCCTTCGAAACGCGGAAAATTGCATTTCGTCTCTGAAACCTAATGCAACGCATGCCTTATGGACGAAAACGGATTTCAATTTGCCGCAAATGCATTCGCTTTGCACCATTTCTTCTGCCGACATTCTTCACTCACGGAATGACAGCAAGACGAAAATGAATTACGAATCCTCGGAAGGCCAGTTCCAAAAAGTGTAGCCGCGGTATTTTTCCGCTATGAAGTTTGAGGTTCTTCCTGCTGTCCATCAGGCATCTTTTGCTTCAATCCATCCTCCTTCCCCTTCCAAGAATGACTAGAAACAGTCGGTTGGGATAGGCCTAAACTTCCGCGACCATCCAGTCTATAGCGGAAAATACTTTATATCAAGCTCGATTTTCATCCGAAAGCGCAATAACTTCATTGCTGCCATCTAATATCAACATTTCGGGGAAACCTTGCTCCTCGACGAACTTCACATTCCGTAGAAGATCTTGAGATTTCAGTCACCGTACTTCTCATTCGCTTTCGTACCGGAGAAGAATGGAGAGGATGCTTCCGTTTAAACATAGGAAATAATGCATACATGCTGAAGCATGTCCATGCAATGGACATGCCGTCGAATGGACATGCAATGAATATCCATGCCATCGAATGTGACGCAATTCCTATGGGCGAATGCGGATTTAGATTCCCGGAACTACAATCACTTTACGTCCATTCTTCCGTCAGCATTTTTCATCAACAGAATCCCGAATATAAATAATAAACCATCTAAATGTGGGTTGCAAAAGTTATTGTATCCTGTTTTCATATTTACGCGTGTTCTGGTCAAAGTGATTCTTCACTGCATATTTTCCATAAAATATGAAGCTAGGGTATTTTACTTTTTCGAACTTATGTATTTTTTCAGTATGTAATTATAGCTCACGTGAGCCTTCGTCCTAACGTCAGCACTTAAAGACCTTTCTTTCAAGCGAGCTTCCTCTCTTATGGACCTATAACGACATGCGGCCTTCACTTGCACGTGTTTCTTGCAAGGAGGTTCGTGACTACGAGAATCTTGCTAACGTGAACAACTCTTCTTTTCCAAAGAGTAAATTCAGAAAAGAAACATACAGAGTCAATCCAATAAGGACACGTATGATGTCGTTCGGAATCCAGCAACGTATGGTAGTGGCTCTACAGCCCGGTGTGACGACGATTCGGTGACTTCGCGGCAGCTTATTGGCCAGAGTAGTCATTCCTTCTTTCGGCATCATGGCGCCCGTCTCTGTCTGGCTTCTCTTCTCTGTGATCTTAGTAATTTCCCTCCACGCAATTGATGCCGGGTAAGATATGTCTTCAGAGTTTGCCTACTAGAGCAATAATCAAGAGGAAGCCTCCAGCCTACTGCAGCTTTTTCTCACTTGAGTTCGATACGTTGCCAGATGACTCCACTACTTGTATATACATTCTTAATCGGTGTTGAGAGCCAAGTGAAAACGTTTTCGAACTCAACTGAAGGAAGCTGTAAGGATGAATTCCTTTTGCTTTATCTCCAGATTCCTATTTAAACTTATTGCAGTAATTTGGATAAAGGAAGGCCTAATATAAAGGGCCATTGTTCGTTACATCAGAGGCCTAAACCTACAAAAGTTGAGTTATTATTTTGAAGATAAGTGTAACTGCCACAAAATGTTTCGAAGGCTGATATTTCGTTGCTCGGCTTTTTTGTCATTTTTTGGTGGAATTGATGATATATTTTCAGACCCATGTGAATCTGAAAGAAAACTTTTTTTTTTCAAGTTTAACCTAGTACTAGGTCAATTGAACCAGTCAGACCATGTGTACTGCTTTCCTTTGGCTCATTCTTTGGCCATGAACAGACTTAGTAAATAAAAATAAGTGGGAAAATGGAAAGGAAAACAAAGAAACACCTTTGGTTGGGGTTATCCTTGGCTGTTGGGATGGGATCTTACTATCAACCACTATTGCCCATTGGTGTCAACTTCTAATGCTAGGTTCTTGTAGGAGAAATGTCCATAGCTGATAATTTGGCACAGTGGATAGAGAGTAGTAGGGCATTATATACTTGCACATGCTTGGTCTCTGGGTGACAGGAAACTCATCAGAAGATATATAGCATAAATATACTTTCAGCAGCCACCTCTTCTGAAGGTTATCCTATGCCATGAAGATTTATTTTCACTGTTCTTGCATTTTCTCTTATAACTCATGTCTCCTGCTATCTTTACTGTTTCTCTCTAACATGCATCAACAATAACACAATCTTTATCTTAAAGAAATATCCTGCCTTTCAGTGAACCTGATACGTGGACATTGAATTTGTACATCTTATCAATGTATGCAGAGCAAATATATAATAATGTTCACATGTGAATACTTCATTCAGTGATGCACTGGTTAGGGTTTGACCAAATACCAGGTATAGAAGAACTTCCAGCATACAAGCAGCTAGAACTGGAGCAGTAGACAGTCATGTACATTAGTCATCTCATATATATTTTTGTGCAGACAATCTCATCATCTCTTCTGTTTAGCTCTCATTTTATCTACCAAGGATGAGGTAGGTATTATTGGTGTCTATAGAATGTAGTGAAGAATGTTGGTGTCTGCTGAAGAAGTGTAGTGTCGTGAGGTTTCAATTATTTTGTGAAGTTTTTGGTAGATAAGATTCAGTAGACTACAGGGTCATGAGAAACTCACAGAAAGGGGTTTCTTTTACTTGATGTCTCCATCATTTTTTGCTGCCTTCAGTTCTCTTCCTATTCTGTTGGGTTGGATCTTTTTCATTGGAAAGAGACAGAATTCTCTTAGACTGGTTTTACAAGACCAGTAAAATCCTCCCTGAAGGATTCCACAGGGAGAAGCCATTACTGTTCCCACCATTCTCTGTCTCACTTTTTTTCTCAGCTAATAAGATAGCTCATTCATGTTCTTCCCTGCATTCTTTCTGCTGGATTTCAACCCCAATTTGGTTGGATCAGACACCCTGCAAATTGGCTAGATACTGGGTAGTAATAGGATATTCAGTACCAAAGTAGTTCTATCCTTTCCTCATTGCACTGAAAAACCTATATTGAATGTTTTACTATTGCCAGTTAGCAATTAAAGGTTCTAGGCACCTCATGAGACATTCCAGCATTCTTATTTGATTTGACAGTTTGTCTAATGAGTTGGCTACTGTCAGAAGCTAAGATGTTTTTCCATTAAGGGTATGACAAGAAAAGCCTGAAATCATATGAAATGTATATCTGTTCTCTATGGAGCTATTTTCACTAGACTTGCACTGCATGTAGATTGATATGTTCCTAACAGTTCTTTTAAATTTCAACCAAATTATTAATGTAGCTAAAACAAGGCAAGGGGTAATTTTTTCAAAAGATAAAAAATGGATTAGGAACTGGAGTCACTTCTAAGTGAAATGACTCCACCTTGTTCTCTGACAGAGAATCTAGATAAACTTTTAATAAACTGTGTCAATGCTCAATGATTTAAAGGTCATTCATTGGGAAAAAAAAAGGAAAAGCTCTTGGAAATCATTTGCAAGAAAAAATCAACTCAGAGTATAAATTTCAATGAAACAGGAGTTGTATATGGCCTGTATGATGTGTGAGCAAAGCACTTTGATTTTGCTTCCACTCCACATCGTGCATCAGGCCTTGAGAATTTTTAAAGTCTAACTTCTTTTCAATCATTTAGCCATGTCTTGGTGCTGAAAATTTGGATGAAAATGCTCAAAACATGTCCATCCTTACGAAGTAAGAGTTTAATGGAAATAGCCCCTGTAGGAGAAAATATACATTGGTTAAAGGTTGTTGGAATTTTTTTTGCCATAATATAAACATTAGTGAGAGATTCCTATTGAAAGTCAGATTCATTAAACTACTGTAAGAATGTTGTGATTGTGTGCATTTCATTCATTGCATAGAATGCAAACCATTTGAGGTTGCCATGCTTTATTTTGGTGTGAACTTATATTTTGTTGCCAAGATAATTTTGGTAAAATTATCTTGGTAAAATTATCTTGTTAAAATATGAGAACTTATAAATGCACACAAACAAGTTGACTTTTTGAATTTTTTCCCAACAGGAGGGATTTCTACTCAATACTTGGGGTGCCAAAATCTGCTACAACAAATCAGATCAAGAAAGCCTACAGGAAGTTGGCTAAAGAGCTACATCCTGACAAAAACAAAGATGATTCTGATGCAGATGAAAAGTTCAAAGATCTTGGTGAGTGCATACTGGCAATATTTTAAATATTAGAGTATCTGTGCCCTGATTGTGGGCAGATAGGGTCTGAAAAAAAGACTGAAACATCCTATTTCTTCTTTGAACACTCTTCTACAAAGTGAACTGCAGAATCTTTTTTCTTTTTGCACATGCATGACCAGCAGTCAATCTTGATCAATTTTCAGAAAATAATACTTTGTTAGAGTTATACTCAGGTAACTCTACTAGGAGTGTTAGCAGGAATAGTAAAGACAACAGGCTCGAGACAATGCTACCAGTCAGATAATTTTTACCTCTATCTCCCATTTTTGCACCTCTGCAACTGAGCAATTCAGTGACTAACATGAGACACGCAGCTTTTCTCTGATGTTTAAGATGTAATGTGTAACTATACCTGAACTGCTGAAGGTAGTGTACTGAAATTTTGCTAAAAGTAAAACAAAAATGCAGAAAGTATGTCTAGTTTTTAAATGAATGGGTCTTTAGTTTACCTGTAGGAAGTTCCTTCTGGTTTATTTTTTATACCCCCTTCATAGGACTATCTCATCTAAGATGGATCAGTGCCTTCAGTATCCCAGTATGGTTCAATGCCAACAATGATTTCATTGGTTAAAAGGTAAAAAAAAAAAAAGGGGGGACTACCAAGAACTGAGTCTGGACTAATGCGTGATGTTACAGGCTCACAGCTCAATGGTCCATTTGGTCATGGCTCTTTTTGGCCTACTGAGGAGTTTCTCATCCAAGTAAGGAGTGACAAGTATATGAAGTAGTTCCACATAGAGTTTTGTATGTGTTGCTGTGTCAAAGGCTACTACAAGGTCAAGTATATCATTCATCTGGGATCCCTGATTCATGCCCTTTTCAATGAACAGCAGTGAATATATTCCTCTTCCTTCCTTGTAAATGAGTCTGCCAAACCTTGGTAAACTGGGTGAAAATACTGCAAATACATGAAGTACATGGGCATAGTCAGGTATGGTGAGATTAGTTCCTGACCTCCATAGCAAAAAAAAAAACCCTTCCATTAACTGTGGTTATTAAGCTTTGCTTGAGAAGGATGCTAAAAGAGATGTGAACCATTCTCATCCACTCTCATCAGTACATATGCCTTAACCCTGTAGCTACTGTTCTGGGTCCAATGGACCATGATATGAAAATTTAGTCATTTGTGTGAGCTGCACCATAAACTTATCCATTCTGATACTCTGTGTATTTTCATGAATACATGTGATAGTAATTAGGCCAAGTATTTTAAAGAGATTCTTTTTATAGAATGAATAGATGAAACAAAGAGTTAAACATTTGACCATCCAGGTTCTTTTAGTTACAGGGTTAAGCTAAGGATGCTAAAAGCCCTGTGTTTTTAGGGTGTATCTCATGTCATGTTTTGCTGAAAATATTCCCAGACCTATGTCTTTTCCAGGAAAAGGGGAGACTATAAAAGAAGAATTGTACATTCTGACTTGATATGCTTGTCCTATTTACTCTGAAATCTTACTCAATTATTTCTTCTTTACTACAGAGAAAAATGTGCATGTGAAATAAGAGTCTATGTCAATGAAAACAGGTGCAGCTTATGAAGCATTATCAGATCCTGAAAAACGGGAAACCTATGATAGATGTGGTGAGGAATGCCTCCAGAAGGAGGGGATGGGTGGAGGTGGTATGGATCCATTTGCCAGTTTTTTTGGAGACTTTGGATTTGGATTTGGATTTGGTGGTCAGGAGAGAGGCCATGAAGTCGCACGAGGTGCTGATATTGCCATGGACCTTTGGGTTACTCTTGAAGAACTCTACTCTGGAAACTTTGTGGAGGTGAGATTCCAGGTCTTGATGGTAATGCAGAAACCAACTGCTCAAAATGAGAACAATGTTGATAAAGGCTCTTTGATGTTCTGTCAGTGTTGTAATTATCTATTGTGGCATACCTTGTGTCTTAGGTAGTAAGAAACAAGCCAGTCATAAAACCAGCTAGAGGGACAAGAAAGTGCAACTGTCGACCAGAGATGGTCACTCGTCAGTTGGGACCTGGACGCTTTCAAATGACTCAGCAGACTGTTTGTGATGAATGCCCCAATGTCAGGTGAGCTGTGGGGCTTTGAAATTACATATTGCAATCACAACCTGGTCATCCCATCCCAACAAAGTCTTAGTTCTTTGAAACTGCCAAATGCTTTTGAATGGATCTTGAAATATCTGAATGTAATGTGGAAATATCCTTAATTTCTGCCATTCTTATGATTATGATATTTTCTTGAGGAAGGCAGAGATTCAACTATGATGCTCCTTTCTTGGAACAGGACCTAACAATTTCCTCAAACTTTTCCTCAGACCAAACTTAAAATTCTCCAAAGTAAGTCTTTCTCTTCAAATTTTGATCATGGTGTGACTAGCCAATTTGCATCTTACCAACTGTTACTCATGACTGCAGGACATGGCAGGTCAGATTGGGCCTCTAAGTGAAATTGGTAAAACGCAGTCAATCAAAATGAATCACAAACATGTGATTAGGAAATATCAAGTTTCCTCAAATGTATTCCTCTTAAATCTAAATGTCCGGCTCCTGATGACACCCAATAACTTCTTCAGGTGAGTGAGATTCATGACCATTGAAGATTGAGAAGAGAGTATGCTCAGAGTTTGTGAAAAAGGAGAAGAAGAATTTTAAAGAAGGGCCTTCATTGGATGAGCTTTTTAGGACTGAGTCATTCCCATTTATTCTGAGGTCCCATTTACTGTTATTTTACTTTTCAGAGATATGTGTTTAAAAAATAACTTCCATGAGCCACTTGTCACAACAGAACTTTCCTGAAATCCTGTAGTTGTCAACCAGCATAGATGTCAAAACAGCCTCTTAGCAAACAATTGAGCATTTCACCTTCATTAGTTTTGCCAATTTAGTTCCAATTAAAACAAAGGTGTTCTTCACAGATACTAATCTTAAGAACCAGGATTTCACATAAATATATACATTTTATCAGCAATCTATCTTGGACTTAATCATGTACATGAGAGAAAAAAATTGAAGGAAAATCTCTCATGGTCCCTAACATCAGGATCTCTAGCACCATGGCATTACAAACAGCCCTCTGCCTCACTTAGTCTGGGTGACTTCTAGAAGATGTAAAAAGGAAGAAAAGATGAGGACCGTACATCCCTGGGATGACATCTCCCACATCCCATAAAGCTGGCCCCTTTTTTTTAACTGGGCACAATGGTCCTCCCACTTGCTTCATCTCATATCTGACCCTCATTGGTATGCAGGATGCCCTTTCTACATCTCCACCCCATCTTATCTCTTGATTGATTCTTTCAGTTATCATCATAGGTAAAGTATGAGTTTCATATTTTGAAGGTGATTTGAATGGTAACGGGTGTGGCACATTACACCCCTCCTTAACACGTTGGCGACAATGCGTCCTGATGCCAGGATGCAGATTTTTTTCAATGAATACCCTCTGGAACTGTTGAGAATGTTCCAGAAGATTATGATTTCGTAATTACTGATAAAAATTCCAAAAAATTCAACATTTTAAAAAGACTCGGCAAAAAAAAATGTTTTCTGGGACCATGCGTCCTGATGGCAGGACGCATTTTTTGACAAAAAAATGCGCGTGGTCCCACGCGGCGGACAAGCAAAAATAGGCTGGTTGTCAACGTGTTAAATACCTCCTGAATCCTGTTGGAAGTACCACATGTCTTCTCATATCTGCTCAAATTCTAGAAAATGACCAGTTGTGGCTATTATTTTCATTTCCTAACACTCTTGGACTACCTTTGCTCACTGATCCTGCAGATTCTGAAAACTGAGTTTCCTAAACTTTTTTTTCCTAAACTTTTTAAACTCATCTCCAAACTGCAAAAGCATAGAGTTTAGATTAGAGCCATTAAGTGGCCATGTTCTCATTCTGTGAAGTCAGATGTGTTATGAGGCAGCAAAGTTATATTTGAATGAGACCTGTTGGATTGGCATTATCTTGCTGGAACAAAAATCATATTCCCAGAATGTCAGGTTGCATGTTCTATGTTCACTGTTCCCATAATTTTCAAAACTCCAATTGACACCTGCTTCCTCAAATTTTGTAACTGGACTGGAATATGAGTTTTGAAACCTGGCATGAAAGATTGAGCTATGAATATTACTCTGCTGCCTGATATCTGCCAAATGACTCATATTCCAGCATGATAATATCTCATCCTGTAGGTGCTACACAACAATCTCACAATTCCATCACAGCATGCAAAAAGTGTGGTCCCCAGATAGCCCTAATTTTGAAGAATGCTTGGAAAGCATTTCAGAAAAAAATTTTACTGGTAAAGCAGCACCCTGAATCAGTGGGAACTATGAATGAAAATAGTCCAAGAGTGGGATGGTATGTCAATGCACATTTTTGGCCAGGAAATTGACCAGTCCCTGTCATTTTTGGCAGTTGTTTTTCAATATTTTTTAGGCTGAAATTTCTTATCATTGACTCATCCAAAGAATTTTAGGAATCAGATGTATTTCCTGAGTGAAATGCAATAATTAAAAACAATTTAAACTGTTGAATGAGGATGTCTGAGAGCAATCATAGTGTAAATCCCATTCCATAGCTGGTAGGATAGTGTGACAAGTAGTACACCATCTATTGGGGCTGCTGCTCAAAGCATGTTATATTCTTAGTTGTCCAAATCTGCTTTGAAAGATAATTCAAAATTAAGTGGGGGTGGACCTCCCCTTATTACTTTCTTATAAAATAATGAAAGTATGGGTATTGACACTCAACTACATGCTCAGTTTGAATTGAGATGGCCAAAGAAGGTTGCAAAGAATATATTGTAGACCAATCTGGTCAAATGCACACCTTGTAGTATCTTAGGTTCTAACCCCTAGGTCATTTCTCTAAGTTCTCTTCATCTTTCTTTTTTCTTCTCAATTTTTCTTTTTCTTCTTTTCTTTTATTGTAATTAAAATTTTTTAGAGCTTTACTTTTCTCTTACTTTGGCTTTCTTTAATTGCACTTATCATTTTTCTTCTTTTTCTTTTAGATTTGCACTTTTTTTTTCCCTGTTTCTAATTTTTACTTCTTTCTCTTATTTTTATTTAAAAATTTCCTCCATTTTTTCCACCTTCCTTTTCCCTGTTTTAGCTTGATTTTTTGTTTTAAACTCATATTCATTTGGCATTGTCACTGGCATCAGTTTGATGGAAGCCTGAAGATGGTTCTAGACTGACATTATTTACAAAATACTGGATCCTATTCAATTTTTTCTTGCTCTTGACTCAGAAGGATGTATTTATTTTGATGGATTGCATAGCCCATGAATTTCTAAAAAGCATATAGTTATGATATACACCTGAATGTATCCCTGACTAACTTGCAGATTGGAAAATGAGGAAAGGGTCTTGGAAGTGGAAGTGGAACCAGGTATGGTTGATGGACAGGAGCATCGGTTTGTTGCTGAGGGAGAACCTCATATTGATGGGGAACCAGGGGATCTCCTTTTTGTGGTACGCACCCATCCACATGACCGATTTCATCGCAAGGGAGATGATCTGTACACCAATGTCACTATTTCTCTGCAGGATGCACTCACAGGTCCCTTACATTTACTAATAAAAGTACATGTTTTTGTTTTTTCATTCAATATTGATGCAGGAATGATGACTTTGAATCTCTCTTAGGCTTTGAAATGGACATTGAGCACCTGGATGGCCACAAGGTGCATATTAAGAGGGAGAAAGTGACATGGCCTGGGGCACGAATCCGGCGCAAGGGAGAAGGCATGCCCAACTATGAAAACAACAATCTTTATGGAATGCTTTACATCACATTTGACATAGAATTCCCCAAGAAGGATTTCACTGAAGAAGAGAAGGAAGGTGAGCATCATTGCTATGGTTGATCAGAAAAAATTTAGCTCTGAAGATGTTTGCAGTTAGCTTGATTATAGAGCTATTCTCATCTCTTCCAGAATTGAGGAAGATCTTGAATCAGGACAGTGTGAACAAAGTCTACAATGGGTTATGACGAGGCTAGCATTCAGGAGGCCTTTATGGAAACTGGGCTGTCTCACTGTGATCTCATCCATCTGTTTATCCTGTTTGAGAGCTCTCATTCTACTGTATTTGTTTCTGCATCTTTAAATACCGGTACTTGTTCTAGTGTGGAGATTCATGTTTGTGACACTTGCTATCACCAAAAAGGGCATGAAAACTTCCTGTTTTGAAATTTGGGTTTGTTTGGACTTGGACTGGATTTCAGTTTGGGTATTTGCACTTGTGATAATCAAAATAATCAAAATCATTATTGCAACCCTGGGATGTTCTCCCACTTGAGGAGATATGGTTATTATGATAGTAATATAGGCTGAAACCATGCATACAACTAAGTTTTATGGGAAATCGAGTGTCAAGGAACTACAAACCAAATGATGTCTTATTTCTTTCCTGTGAATTTTTTGTAATCACCCTGGGCATAAACAATTTTTATGGGTCAGTTGTAGGCCCTATTTCCATGACCATGGGTGATATAAACCTGCCTGTGATGAGGTCTAACTCTCTCAGTGGGATGATCCCAAGTCAGGCTTAGGTTCCATTACATCCCTTGCAAGCACTGGTCATGAAACCATTATCTCTTTTTCAGTGGTGTGGTTTATTCATAGTACTTTAATTGAATTGAGTTATAACTGCATGGCATTTAAACTCATCATCATCAAATAGGGCATAAGTCTATATATTACAGGCTTTAATATTTTTTTTACTTAGTGTGGTGATTGTGATCTTTAAAAAGTGATATAAGCCTAGGCATAAAGCTCTTCAACATTCTTAGAAAGGAGAGGGTGGGCCACAAGAGGAGAGCCTAAATTCAGATTTAGTCATTATTACATTTTGCATTTAGACTTCTATTGTTTTTCCTGAGATTAGAGAAAGAGAAGTCCCTCCATTCTGTTATCTTTATACCATCTCATGGCTCATCCTCTTTGTATTAGCCTCACTTCAACTGTCCAGGTGCTTTAGGCCTTACTTTTCTCTGTGCTCCTGTCCTTGTTGAAGAAACTTAAGGTATCAAGGACTCTAATGATTCATTTGTCTCAGGATGGCAAGATAAGGAAGGGTAGCAAAAATCCACAGTAGGTCCACTGAAAAAGACATAAATAGTATAAAGACTTATATAAATATAAATAGGCAACTACTTGGAAGGAACTGATGCAATGTGTTCCCCTGAGATTTTAAGTTCCATCAAGTCTCCACTTGCTCTCCTAGTACATCAATGCACTTTTGAAACTGTCCATATCCATGATGTCTTATAGATGCTTCCTAGGAATGGACACAATTGCCAGAACCTGCCTGATATGGGGAGATTCCTATAAATAAAATTTTAAACCATTGCCTGCTGTTTGTCAGGTCTGGAAGCATTTTTCTGAAGACAGGGAGGGACTTGCAGGTCACGGCATCTGGTGATTTAACCAATTAACTGGGTATGATGAGTATACTTGTCATGGCCATTCTTCCATGTGGTGCAAATGACCAGGATAATCATCATGAGATTTTAGGACTGTCATTCAGGGAAACATTTTTTTCCCTGAATAAGAAAATGATTAAGCTTTGTTGCATATGCAAGTTGCTGCAAAAAAAAACCCACCAGCCTGTTGCCACAGCACAGGAACTATCCAGTTAAGTGGTTAAATTTCACTGACCAAATTACAACTGCACCTTCTCCAAGAGTCACCATCAGAATCACATGACACAGTGTAATATCTTTTGTCAGCTTTTTTCTACAAGCTGTTTACTTGTATATTATAAAACTGTAGACTTTAACCTGCATGTTGCAAAGAGTTTCAAGCTGATCTGTGCCTATTTATGACAACTGCAGCTGTTTCAAACAAATCCTGAATGCTCCAGTGGGCATCCTGTATATTAGCAATTAGCTACAAGGCTATTTGTTTGTCAATAGATTCAGGTATTTACTCTATTTAAGCTTAGATTGACATTGAAATTGCAAATTGAACCTTCAGAGAGAAGTGAAGAGTAATTAGAAATGTTCCTATTGATAGCTACTGAGAGCATGTATAGATATTTTGCAGCTGTGCTCCTGACTTTGAGGATTCTGAATATTCATGACAATAATTTTCTATGATATTGGGGATGTGTTTCCTTGAATGCTGTATCCATCATCCCTCCCCCTCCTTGGGGCTTGGGGCACACTTGAAATTGAACATGCTTCAAGTCTCATTACAACTGCTTCCTTTTGCAGGTTATATCCTTAAAGATTGAGTTGTCAGTTGTGCAGTGAAAAGGTTGATATGAGTGGGGAAGAGGAGTTCCATGTGAAGTGGTCTGAGTTCAATGACAATCTATTGGCATGTCTGAGATGTTTGTGGGAGGAGGAGCAGTTTATTGATGTCACTCTTGCTTGTGATGGTGTTCAGTTCAAGGCTCACAAGCTTCTGCTTTCAGCCAGCAGTGACTTCTTTGCCAAGCTGTTGAGAGTGAGCTGTGCCTTTCAGACTCCTTGTTTGGACTTCTCTCGAGTCCTTATTTTAGGCTAATTGCATTTTTCTGCTTGGTGTTCCCTTTTTTTTCCAGGAGAATCCATGTCGTCATCCTATCATTTTGTTCAGTGATGTCTTCTACAAGGACCTAGAGAGCATATTACATTTCCTGTACCATGGAGAAGTCTTCATTGAATCATCTCGCTTGTCCCATTTCTTCACTTTGGCAGAGGCAATGCAAATCAAAGGACTCACAACTGATAGTGAACATGTGAGGAGAGGAATTTTTTACCTCCTAAAATGCTGAGGCTTGCATTGTTGGTATTTCATGTCTCTACTTCAACTCTTGCATAGAGACTACATTTGCCAGAGTGTGTCTTTGCAGAGGATTAATGAAGCTGTGATTGTAATTTTTTTGTTCCTCTAATGATAGAAACTGAAGGCCCCAAAACTATATGATCAAGTTTTCTAAAGGACATTGCAAGTGTAACATCCAGAATGGGTGACTTGTCCTTATATTACAGCAAATAAATGGAAGAGAATGCAAGAGAAGTCCTGACAAAAAAGAGGAGAATAAAAGAACTCCTGGAACACAGCAGAGGTCCCGTAAGAGACCTTGTACTCAGGATGATGACTTACAGGTCAGTGTTTCACTTGTTCAAGTAAAAACTGATTTTTTTCTTGAAAGTAGTATAAATTTTAACCCTTTCGCTGCAGTGGTAGACTTTTTCACACAGCAGCTATTCCTCCCTAACCCATATCAATTCTACTACGCAGCGAAAGAGTTAAGTAAGTGTAGGGTTCATGCTTTTTAATCCATTGGTTTCCTCAGAGATTGCTTCATACATTGTTTGCAAAGATAGAGAACAATTTTGCATTTTTTTTGGTCTTCATCTTTTTATTCAAGGATGAAATTACAAGGGAAGTTCATCCTGAGGATGACCGGGAAGATGCACTTTCATCACCTGAACCAATACCAGTTTCCATTAGTATGGATTCAGATGAGAAGCCTTTCCAAAATGATGAGTATCCTCCTAATAATGCCCTGCCTCTACTATCTTGTTGTGAGTTACTGGATCTAGGAAACTATGTTCGAGCAGATTGATTGCAGGTAAACTCATTTGTATTCCTAATCTTTCAGGTGACTCTGAAACAAGTGGCCATTCTGTTCCATCTTTTGATGCACCATCAATTTCTGGTTTGTTCTTAGCTGCATAATTTTTCTCATGAGTTGGTCACTATTGGGTCTCTCATTTTATTCCTGCCATAGGTCTAACAAGCCGTAGCACTAGAAGCTCATGGATTGGGGTGGACTGGAAGAGAAAAGTGTGTTTATTATGCCAAAAAACATTCTCCGGAAGTCAGGCATTACAAACTCACTTTGAAAGTCTTCATTCACTTCAGACTTACACTTGTTCCTCTTGTGGTAAAGTTATGCCAACACGAAATGCACTATACATTCATCGAAGTCGTCATCACACAAACCCGACTGACAAGACTAGGAGGTGCTTCCAAGTCTTCATCACGTGTATGTAATTATTACTTATCAGGTAAATATTTCTTGAGGCTGTTCATCATGGCTATGAAAGGATTCTTTCTTTATTTTAGGAAGGATGTGATCCAGTGCTCAGAACCAGCTCCCGTATGTCTTTCACTGAGTGCCTCAAGCTTAAAATGTGCTTATCCTATAAAACAGCATGTGCTCCCCCCCTTAGCATCTGTATCACAGATTGATTAGCAATATGTGATGATCTAGAGTGTAAAATGATTCTCTTATGTTTTACTCCATTGATGTGTTTCCTGAAGAAATAGGCTAAAAGTGCTGTCTTTTACATTTGGGGTCAAAGCAGGGCCCATGATTTGTATGAAGTTGAAGTTGTGGATGGAAATGGAATCTATTTTGTTGACCTCTTTCCATTAGCAAGAGTGTCTTATTATGCCTTGTCTAGACTATTAACTTTTAATATTTAACTGTCCTTCTATGTGCATAGGCCTGACAGGTCATTGGCATTGAATAATCACTGAAGTAATAATATTTGGAATGAATACAGTAAAATCGTGAAGGGCATAAAATATCACATCATCAAGTGCTTTAAAGTACCTTTCTGCCGTCTGGTGAGTGTGAGTGAACCCAGGGTCCATTCACTTGAAGCAGCTTGTCCACATGGTATTGTCATGTCCCCTTGTGGGGAAGCATAAAGGTTTCTAATTTCTAAAGCCATAGTTCATAAAGGTTGACATGCAAATGCCCCTGATTCAACTAGCATGAAATGTGATCATCTTCAAAAGGAGAATAGTATGGAAAAGCCCTAATGGTCCTATCCCATCTGTGCATCTATTCCCAGTTTGACTGGCAATAACAAAGAAGTCTTGAGTGCTGAAAAATTGCCATGCAGGCTGGGAATGTTTTTGGTGATGCTCTCCAATAAAAACTTTATTTGACAATGTTAAATATCACATGTACAAGGGGCGCCCCATAAGTAACGCCTTTCATTTTTTCGGTTGCAAACTACTAATGGCACAAAGTAAAAATTACATATGCATGAGCATTCAAATGTCCTCCCATTCCTTGTAAAATGTTGTACTTCCAACTCAGAAAGCTCTGTCACCATGGCAATTCAAATTGGTGAAGTGCAATAAAGTTTGTCAGGAGCAGAGAGCAGCAATTGCATTCCCTACAGAAGCTGTACCACTGATAGGCATTCATTGTTGTTCAAGGAAGGTTCACAAAATTCTCCACTGAGATGTGTGAATCACCATAAATAACCTTCATATGATAATTCATGTCTATTGGTGGTGCTCCATTTGTTTGTCAGAAACAGAAGGCAAGGTTTACTTTCTTCAAATTTCCTCACTACACTGTTTTGAATTGCCTTGTTGGCTGAGCTTTCCTAGTAGGAATCACAAAACTTGACCAGGAATGGGAGGATCTTTAACACATTGACTGCCAAGGGGTTTGGAACCACTGTTCTTCCCTATAGTGAATGTGACACACCAGTGTGTCATGTGGTGGTTAACTTGTTAAATGCATTTGCATGTGTTCTTTTGACTTTGTGCCACCAGTAGTTTATGATAAACAATTTCAGAGGCATTACTTTTGGGGTTCCCATCATAATTGTGCTGACTGCATGTTGGACTACAGGATCTCCCCTGACTTTGTCATGCTATACTCCACCTCTCCCACCACCCTTTTAGTAGTTCATTGCTATCTCTTTCAAGGTGTTCTTCATTTGTATTTTTAGAGAAAAAATCTGTGGAGAAACTAATTGTGGGTGGTGCAATTCAGAACATGATTATATTTTGTTCATTGTGGTGATAAATTAAATAGTGAATGGTGGGTTGTGTCGAAACTGGGCTCATCCGTTTGTCCTTGCATCCATCCAACAGCCATTGAAGTGACCCTTTTGGCCACCAACTGTGTACTCAGCCTTGCCTGTGTGGAAAAACAATTATATGGGTGTGTGATCATAGCATGTGGGTCTTCTGTTTTGTCTACCTATTTAGTTAGGTTCCTGTCATCACTATTGAGTTAATTACTCATTTCCAGCATAGGAATTAGTCTCCAGAGCAGGATCTATTTGAATCTTCCCTTTTGAATCTGCTGTCACCATGATTTAAGGCAACCTACTTTCATACCTATTAGTTGTAGCACATAGCCTTGCATGGTAACTAAGTATACCACCCAGATACTCAAGAGTAAACACATGTGTTACTTCTGGATGTTGAAGAGCCCACCACTACAACTCTGACTCATTTTGAAGCCTCTAGGATGTTGTCATTTGAAGCATTATCCAGCTAGACACTTAACTTTGTGTGACCAAGGTAGTATGAGCAAGCTAGCTGTCATCCCATCAGTGACCATCCCCCCCCCCCTGCTTCTGAAACAAAAAAATGTGTCTAGACCATAAATTGTACAGGGTGTCTGACAGAAAATATGCCAGATTTGAATTAGCTGCAACTTGATCAATCAGGTACTTATGTATTTGATTTTTTCTAACAATTTCTTCCTTAAAGCTTTGCCTCCAGACAGTATCTGTCATCAATTGCTGTCAAACTCGAATCCATTCTGCAATAAGCCAACTGGTTTGCATCAAGTGTTATATGTTAGTAGCAATCCTTGAGAGAGTGGTATGTTCTCTGATTTGTTAAGCTTGAATCTACACCAAAATTTTGAGAGTTCTGCTTTGTCTACAAAAAAATAAGCCCAGCAGATCAGGTAAGCATCAAGCAATAATATGAAAATAGTCTGATGCATTGGAACATTTTAATAGCAGCATTCCAAAAGTGGCTCCTAATGTAGATTGATATTTGGGGCCCATAAAAGGAGATTACCTAAAACTTATGACTTTAGGGGAACACTGGTTAAAAGTCCAGGGTAAAAGTACTCAGTTGAAAATGTTGTGGTCATTGGAAATCTGACATTTTCATTTGGACACTGTTACTACATATTATGTGCCCAAAATAACTGTTTCCAACTTTAAATGCTTGGAGACAGAGCACCATGCAAGTTATTGGGAAGAAATATACATGGTGTTACGTTCAGCATCACCGGGGATTTCACAAAAATTTTCAATGAAATGATTCCTTCAGAATTTGAATAACAGTACTTTTCCCATGTGATGACAAACTAGCAATTATGTCAGTGGATGAACCCTGGATCCTTGTTCCATGCATGATGGGACTAGTCCTGCCACTGTCCCACTGGGTCAGAGGCTAGTATGCTTACTTGTTTGACCTTTTGTAGAGAAGTCATTATTCTGGTTCTGGACCACCAGTGACATTGAACATTTTGAAAAACTGATTGCACTAATTGGAGGTGAAACACTGTAAAATTCCTGACATTGTCATCCATTATGTTCCATCCACAGCCATGTAAATTATGGGGTTCCTTTTTTGTCACCTGTTGTCACATTCACCATGTTCAGGTTGGTTTTCTGAAAATTTATATGAAATTAGTCATTCAAAACCAGAATAGTGGCCTTTTTCTCCATAATTGCAAACAGCATCTGTGTCTGCCTGCTCAGCTGGCATGTGGTAGGGCAAATCCCATCATAAGCGAAACAACCATTCACACTTCTCACACCATGAGAATGCATGAATGTATGGATTGAAAAGGTGATGGAAAAAAAGCTGAGTTGCTTGCCATCCCTTGATTCAGACTGTTCTGCCCTGACTTAAGAAAAAGTAGGTACTCTGCAGAGTTTGATTCCATGTTTCCCTGTTGCTTTTAGAAGTTCATTTTTTACATTCAGATTGGGGATTTTCTTT